TATATATATATATATATATATATATATATATATATATATATATATATATATATAAAGGGGAAAATAAAACAGTCAACTACGGGGAGTAACATTGATGTTGTTTGATTATTGAACACCATTTTGAGTTTTAGTCTTAGCTTGACCACCCTTGACCTGTTTTAGCGGTTGGAAAAAGGTCAGGGGCGGTCAAACTAAGACCTGGCACGAGGGTATGAAAACCCTAACATGGAGAGTGGCTCACATAGGTCTCATTGGGCTCCCTGAGATCATGGTCATCGATGGTTAGAGACACTGAGTGATATGGCTGTGTCACAAACAGTGCCGCACATGTATCCACTCATTATTCTTGCAACATCATTCGATATNCCTCTATCTTTCGCTCCCAACATTTCAATCTTCATTCTACTCTTTTATCCGAACGGGGGCTAAATACAGTAACCAAAGCGGAGCACGAAAGTGCATGGCTAGTGGTTCTAATAATTGAGCTGAAACTGGTGTACGTGTTTCGTAGACACGACATACGTCTAAATCGAAAGTTTCAATGGTTCAGGCCTCTTGTTTGCTGATCTGACAGCGTGCGAATTTTGAATGCAGCTAAGTGAAACGAAGACTTTGGTTTTATCAATCCCGTAGTTTGATTGGGTGGCCCCTCTAGTTAAACGCTCAGTGGTATCCCACCCTTTTGGTCGGGGGCTGTCCAGATGCGGTGGGTGTTAGTCGTCCCCTGAAGTAGGAAGACTTCTCTCAGCGTCGAGAGGACGCTCCAGATACACCGATCCTACACCAAAAGGTTGGATTTTTCTGAGCGATAAACTGTCTCTCCCCGTGTTCATTTGTTGCATTGATCTCTCCAGGGACGAGAGTGAATAGTCAAAGGAAGCCATGAGGTCCCAGTCAGTTGATCTTTGTCTGGCCACTACCCATTGACTTTTCCGGTGCGGTTGGATCTGCGGTCGAGAAAAGCAATCATGTGTAGCCCTTATCGTCATGGCCAGTCAATTCATTTAGATGATGTCCTAGGATCACGTCAAATATCGTTGGTAACATTTTGAAATATGAATGAATTGTTTTCGGTACACTGTCATTAGCTTCATTCGATTAAATGTGCGGGCGAAATTCAGCCCATTGTCAGCGGAGATGTGAGAGGCTT